GATGATGAACTTATGCTCTGAATACCACATGTGCAGGATGATGAACTTATGCTCTGAATACCACATGTGCAGGATGATGAACTTATGCTCTGAATACCACATGTGCAGGATGATGAACTTATGCTCTGAATAGCACATGTGCAGGATGACGAACTTATGCTCTGAATACCACATGTGCAGGATGACAAACTTATGCTCTGAATACCACATGTGCAGGATGACGAACTTATGCTCTGAATACCACATGTGCAGGATAACGAACTTATGCTCTGAATACCACATGTACAGGATGATGAACTTATGCTCAAAAAAATAGGCAAAGACTTTACACTTCTTGAATTATTTAAACATCAGATACTAAACTACTGGGAAGCACTTTACATAATAAAACTGACAATAAAATCATAAGTTCATATTTATTAAGAAATTATATCTAAAGGTAAGCAATGACATAAATTGCAATATTTCACTGTGTAGTATTTAGCTAACGTATAGATACATATTTGTAGTCATATAGGTTTCCTTTAGGAATTTGAATAATGTTTTATATTCCTATCGACAAATTGATTTGTAACAAAAGTGTAATATTATGATTTTTCAAGTTTCAGGAATTATTTCAATATTTTATACTCCATTGAATGTGTTTAGAATATATGAACAAAACAGTACACATACGAGGACAATGCCACACATGCAAGATAAAATATATAGTTATTACAGATGTGGCTATGAGGTTTAATGGTATCTCTTTTATACCCGTAAGATGGAATAAAATTTTAGGGACTTGGACTACTAACAGTATCTAATAACATAGAGTACAAAGGACTACCACAACCCTACCAAAGCTTGATATTGGGGGTTACTTTAATTTTAACGCTTTCCAGACAGGAAGTAATATACTACCATTTTTGAATTTCCACACTTTATTCGAAACCAAACGTCAATAAAGTTTATATATATCCCACAAAATTCCAAGTCTGAAAATTTCAGATGTAGTTTCATTTTATAGATGATCTAAGAGAGTTTTAAAAAACATGGTCATACGCCATCCTATGAAAACACAAGATCCTGAATTGTACACGGTTAACTGCCGAGTGAAGTATAAATCCTCATCTTGGATAAATAAAAAAATCAAATAGCTTAAAAACACAGCTATAATAGCTGTACGTAAAAATAACATAGAATGTACTAATTGAATTTCAAATTGCTGTGAATTCCTGCACAACATATAAACCAATAAGCTGAATAAAAATTAATGACGAGCACTTGCGTTAATAAATAGTTACTTGTCTGCAAATAAAACGCATACTCCTGCAAATGTAATCTATATACTACTAAAACTCTGAGATTGTTTGTCTGTAATTAAATACAGCAAAAACGGCACACAATAGTGCCATATTTGTAATGAAATGAGAATAAAAACAGAATATATACAACTTGAAAACATAAAACGGACATGGCCCTGAAAAGGAAAGTAGTAATAGAATTCAACAAATCAAATAAAACCAGCCAACCAAAAACCAAACCCAAGAAGATAGCAAAATATAATAACAGTACAGTAGGGAGGAAGAGGTCTACTAGAACCTGACCCTCCCAGGTCGTAAAAGACCCAAATTTCGAATCGAAGAGAGAGAGAATAAAGCAAGTTTCGTTAAAATCGGGCCACGGGTTACCGACGTTTTTGGGTAACTTTTATGAAAATTTCTAGATGAATTTAGGTACACTAGATGGTGCCACATGTCTGTAATTTGCCTGT